CACCTGCATCACAACAGCACTGATCCCACTGCAACTCTGACGGTTGTCACTGGAGGAGCTCTAACATTCGTGTAGCTCACTGAGGCCGTCTGCTGGCTGTATGGTGGGCAGCCTGGCTGTTTGTGGTTTGAGCACTAGTGCGTTGGGGCAACTGACGGTTAATAACCAGCTAAAAAACGCAGAGCTTGCGCTTCAGAGCACTGTCTGACCAGCTTTCCCGCCGCTTGTCCAGCGAGGACCACCCTCCCCGTTAGGGCTTTGGCTGCAGGGGGACCAGGAGCTGAGTGGGTTGACTGGTGGGCCCTGCCAGGTCCTGCTGATGAGCCAGGCTCGGCTGGGCTGTCATCAGCAGCCCTGGAATACTGCGGACCCGCCCGGCTCAGGAACCGGACTAAAGACCGTCACAGGGGCTGTGATTGTGACATTCTGTTACCATACACGTCACCTTGGTTTGAGCCTTCACTGGGTGGACGATGGGTGGAACTCCCTGCGAGCTTCCTTGTGGGCAACACATGAAATGTGTGAGAGCATTGCCACCACCTCCCTGCCCGCAGCTCAGGCATATGTCCCTTCCCAATGAGCGAAGGTTCCACCAATTTGAGGTGCGAGTTTAAGCAGCAGCTGCTGGCCTCTCTGCAGCCAATCAATAATAATAATAATAATAATCCTTGCATTTGATATAGTGCTTTTCACGTCGGGAGGACGTCCCAAAGCGCTTCACAGAACACACTGTAAAGTGAATTGACTGTATATTTGTGGGCGAACGCGGCAGCCAATTGCGCACAGCAATGTCCCACAAACAGTCGTGGATTGAAAATGACCAATTTATTATTGTTTTTGGTTTTGGAGGGATTATTATTAGGCTCTGTGTGGAGTAAGGAAACTTGCCCAAGGTTTGGCCCTGACTGACCCCCCGGGGATTGAACTCAGGTCTCTCACTTGCAAAGCGAGTGCTCTAACCACTGAGCTACAGGACTCCACGAGAGAGGTGGAATCAAGGTGGATTCCAGGCACTGGATGTATGAGTGTGTGTTCACAAACTCGGACTCCAGGTTACACCTTCCAGTATCAAGGCCTCGGAGAGGGTGCAGAGGAGATTTATCAGAATCATAAAATTATACAGCACAGAAGGAGGCCATTTGGCCCATCGTGTCTGTGCTGACTGTTTGAAAAGAGCTTCCAACTCCCACTCCCCCGCTCTCTCCCCATAGCCCTGATCAACCCCACTCCCCCGCACTCTCCCCATAGCCCTGATCAACCCCACTCCCCCGCTCTCTCCCCATAGCCCTGATCAACCCCACTCCCCCGCTCTCTCCCCATAGCCCTGATCAACCCCACTCCCCCGCTCTCTCCCCATTGCCCTGATCAACCCCACTCCCCGCGCTCTCCCCATAGCCCTGATCAACCCCACTCCCCCGCTCTCTCCCCATAGCCCTGATCAACCCCACTCCCCCGCTCTCTCCCCATAGCCCTGATCAACCCCACTCCCCGCTCTCCCCCATAGCCCTGATCAACCCCACTCCCCCGCTCTCTCCTCATAGCCCTGATCAACCCCATTCCCCGCTCTCTCCCCATAGCCCTGATCAACCCCACTCCCCCGCGCTCTCCCTATAGCCCTGATCAACCCCACTCCCCCGCTCTCTCCCCATAGCCCTGATCAACCCCACTCCCTCGCTCTCTCCCCATAGCAAACTTGTCCTCCCCAAATGATTATCTACTTCTCTCTTAAAAGTTATCAAATTGGCTTCCACCGGCCTTTCAGGCAATGCATTCTAGAACAGTATCAGGGATGAGGGGGTGCAGCAAAGGTTCACTCGGTTAATTCCTGGGATGAGGGGGTTCACCTACAAGGATAGGTTGAGTAAACGAAGCCTATACTTTCTAGAATATAGAAGAATTAGAGGTGATCTTATAGAAACATATAAGATTATTAAGGGTCTTGACAGATTAGACAGTGTGAGACTGTTTCCCCTGGTAGGAGAATCTATAACCAGGGGTCACAGTTTTAAGATTAAAGGTCAGCTCTTTCGGACAGAGTTGAGGAAACACTTCTTCACTCAGAGGACAGTGAATTTATGGAATTCTCTACCCCAGAAGACTGTAGATGCTCAGTCCTTGAACATATCAAGATTAAGGTTAATAATAATAATAATAATAATAATCCTTGCATTTGATATAGCGCTTTTCACGTCGGGAGGACGTCCCAAAGCGCTTCACAGAACACACTCTAAAGTGAATTGACTGTATATTTGTGGGCGAACGCGGCAGCCAATTGCGCACAGCAATGTCCCACAAACAGTCGTAGATTGAAAATGACCAATTTATTATTGTTTTGGGTTGTGGAGGGATTATTATTAGGCTCTGTGTGGAGTAAGGAAACTTGCCCAAGGTTTCGCCCTCTGCCCGGAATTGAACTCAGGTCTCTCACTTGCAAAGCGAGTGCTCTAACCACTGAGCTACAGGACTCCACGATAGGTTGATAGATTTCTAAAGGTTAGAGGGATTAAGGGATATGGGGATAAGGCGAGCAGATGGAGTTAGGTTAGAAGATCAGCCATGATCTTATTGAATGGTGGAGTAGGCTCGTGGGGCCAAATGGCCCACTCCTGCTCCTAATTCCTATGTTCCTATGAGGGACTTTAGACTAGATAAGCTGGAATTGTTCTCCTTAGAGCAGAGAAAGTTAAGGGGAGATGTAATTGAGGTGTTCAAAATTTTGAAGGGGTGCTGATAGAGTAGACAGGGAGAAACTGTCCACTGACAGGTGGGTCAGTAACCAGAGCACACAGATTTAAGATAATTGGTAAAAGAATCAGAGGGGCAATGAGGAGAATTTTTTGTATGCAGAGATTTGTTACGGTCTGGAATGCACTGCCTGAAAGGATGGTGGAAACTGATTCAATAACAACTTTCAAAAGGGAATTAGATAGCGACTTAAAGGAAAAATTTGCAAGGATTTGGGGAAAAGACAGTGGGACTAGTTGTTGCTGGAACACTTAAGGGACTGTGTTAACCCCTCTTAGTGTTATAAAACAGTGATGAGACCAGAGATGGAGGACCTGTAACAAGCTATTAGCAATGTATTTCTCCTCCTCATTCCATGTATGTTACGGATATTGCACATAACATGGCAGTGGATCATTATTTGCCATGAAAATGATGGCACTCACACACACACTGGACGTCTAAACACAGTTGAAGACTTGTACTGAATACAATTACTTATTTGATTATTATAATTCTTCCATGTGTTTCAGTGGTTGGTCAGTGGACTGCAGAAAAAAAAATATGGGGTTAAAAGGACTTTGTGGACACTCTGGACACATGTGGAGTCCTGTAGCTCAGTGGTTAGAGCACTCGCTTTGCAAGTGAGAGACCTGAGTTCAATCCCCGGGGGGTCAGGGCCAAACCTCGGGCAAGTTTCCTTACTCCACACAGAGCCTAATAATAGTCCTCCAAAACAAAATAACAATAAATTGGTCATTTTCAATCTACGACTGTTTGTGGGACATTGCTGTGCGCAATTGACTGCCGCGTTCGCCCACAAATATACAGTCAATTCACTTTACAGTGTGTTCTGTGAAGCGCTTTGGGACGTCCTCCCGACGTGAAAAGCGCTATATCAAATGCAAGGACTATTATTATTATTATGTCGACCTGTCTGCTCCGTCCACTCAGCGGGCTCTGGCCTGCTCCACCATCGACGGTTGGACCTTCAGCCTCTTTGCCCCCACCCTTTGGAACTCCATCCCTCCCTCGCCTCCTTCAAGGTAACATCTCAAGACCCTCCTCTCCGACCGCTCACCCTCCTAACCCCACCCTCCCTGCCCTCCACTTCTCCTGATCCCAACCCACTGGTCAAGTCCAAATCCCTGACTGTCCAGTGTTCTCCTGACGTGTAAATGTAGTTTGTTGTTTGCAGCAGGAGATGGCGCGGCTGCTGAATTTCCCTCTTGGTACACCAGAGAGCAGCGTGTGCTCAGAGAAGGCCACGAACAGCAGCCGGATGCTGACTGACACTTGGCTGGAACTTTCATCTGTTGAAAGTGTAGAAACCAGCTTCAATCTGATTAAAATGTAGTTGGTATCTGGGTGCTGCATAGAGAATTCATACTGCTGCCTCCCTCCACTCAGGAACCTGTCTCGTGTAACTGTGGGGGTGTGATTCGACAAGTGGCTTTATGTAACTGCGTGGTGTGTGTGAGCAATGTATACAGTGGAGCCTAGTTATGATACAGTGATTGGGGTCCACAAAATCTCCGCCAACGCTATAACATGCTGCAGAGTCGACACCTCTGAGTCTGTGCCTGATTGTTAACCTCGCCACTTCAACAAAACCTCTCTCAAACTCAACACAATTAGGCTCTCACATTATTTTAGTGAATCTAGGTCAGGGACGAGTGGTGTGATTGTCAGGGGTAGAGACACAGTAAAGCTCCCTCTACACTGTCCGTCCACACTCCCAGCTCAGGGTTAGAGACACAGTAAAGCTCCTCTACACTGTGTGTCCACACTCCCAGGTCAGGGTTAGAGACACAGTAAAGCTCCCTCTACGTTATGCGTCCACACTTCCATGTGAGTTAATATTATTAATAGTAATAATTATAACAATCCTTACATTTGATACAGCACTTTTCATGTCAGGAGGACTTTTCAAACATTTCATCTGATTGTTCTGTAAAGTGTAGTGACTGTGTGTTTTAGGCTAGCACAGCAGCCAATTTGCACACACCAACATCCCTTACTAGGTAGGGGATTGCTAGGCTGATGCCATCAGGTCAGATACACATCACGTCTCACTGCTCCAGTGTCTGTCAGCCCATTTCTCGTCTCTGAGTCAGAAAGTGAAGGGTTCAAGCCCTCACGTCTAGACCTTAGCTGACAGTCTGGAGTGCCGGGCGGGTTGTCCTTTGGACTAGACATTAGGGTTAGGGTGTTTGTTGAATGCCTTGTGTAGGAATGTTTCTCGTCTGTTTATTATTTTACTTTTAATTTTTCAGGTCCTGGAAAAGCGCCCACGCTTGGAACAGGCTTTCACACCAGCCTCGGGAAGGAATCGCGAGCGCAGACCTTACAGAACGGTAACTGCAACACTAACCAGCCAACTCTGACAGTCTGTGTCTCTCCTCAGTAAGAGCAGTAACAGTGGGGGAGTGAGCACCAGCAACAACAACAACAAAATTACATTTGTACAGCGCCTTTCACGTTGCTAGGACGTCCCAAAGCGCTGAACAGACAGTTTCGGACCCGAGCTGAGGGTCGGGATGGTGGGGGGAGGAGGTCGGTGGGAAGCAGGGAGATCAAAAGCACAATCAAAGAGGAGGGTCTTGAAGGTGCCAGACAATTGCACAGACGCGATAGGGAGAGAGAGAGAGCAGGGAATGGGGTTAGTGTAGAGAGCTCCAGTGGGGGAGCGAGCCCCAGCACAGACACCATGGGGAGAGAGAGAGAGAGCAGGGAATGGGGTTAGAGAAGAGAGCTCCAGTGGGGGAGCGAACCCCAGCACAGACACGATGTGTTTTGTGCGGCTGTATGGTGGTTTGATTGGAACAGATAAACGTTGAACCTGTTAAATTGCCGTTCGCTTTACCCAGCTGGGATTGCAGGCAACTAGGTCACCACTAGAGGGAATGTGTATAGATAATAATAGTAATAATCCTTGCATTTGATACAGCGCCTTATCACATCTTCAAGACGTCTCAAAGTGCTTCACAGGCTACACTATTAAGCCAACTGACTATATTTTGTGGGCGAAATGCGCCAGCCAATTGGACACAGCAGTGTCCCACAACCATTCGTGGATTGAGTGACCAAATTATTTTCATTTTTTTTAAAGGGATTATTACCCCCGGAAAAGTGATCCACCAATAGTGAGTGTTTGCCTGTAGCTTGTGGTTAGTGCAGTACAGGAGTCCTGTAGCTCAGTGGTTAGAGCACTCGCCTCGCACGTGAGAGACCTGGGTTCGATTCCCAGTGTGAAACCTTGGGCAAGTTTTCTTACTCCATACAATAATAATCCCTCAAGAAAAAATAAATTAATTGGTCACGTCAAACCATGACTGTTTGCGGGATGCTGCTGTGCCCAATTGTCTGCCGCGTTTCGCCCACAAAATATACAGTCAATTCACTTTATAGTCTGTGAAGCGCTTTGAGACGTGAAAAGCGCAATATCAAATGCAAGGATTATTATTGTTACAGACAGCACATTGAGGCAGTCACTAGCAGACCAAAGCCGGGCGGGGTGGGGTGCAGTTTCTTGCCAAAAAAGCTAAACAGGAATGCCGTCACAAGCTGCAGCTCAGCCCCGCCACAGAGATACACAGTGGAGTGTCTGGCCATTGTAGCCTCTGTTACTGTCCGAGAGAGATGGGCAGTTTCCCAGGCAGTAAGATCCATAATTTACCCCCAGTCCCTACTCAGGGCCTCTGGTACTGTGGTTCTCTCACTGTCAGATGGGATGTGGAGTCCTGTAGCTCAGTGGTTCGAGTCTCATCTTACAAGCGAGAGGACCCGAGTTCGATTCCCAGGGAGGGCTAAACATTGGGCAAGTTTCCTTACTCCACACACACTCCTCTGTTTACTTAGCAGTAAGGTAGAACCCGGTTGTTAGTCACTTGGTGGATCGCTTTTCTGGGGGCAATAATTCCCTCTCTGTGGAGCTCTGTATCTCTGACCCTCACTCTGTGTGTGAGTGGAGCTCTGTGTCTCTGATCCTCTCTCTGTGTGTGAGTGGAGCTCTGTGTCTCTGACCCTCTCTCTGTGTGTGAGTGGAGCTCTATGTCTCTGACCCTCTCTCTGTGTGTGAGTGGAGCTCTGTGTCTCTGACCCTCTCTCTGTGTGTGAGTGGAGCTCTATGTCTCTGACCCTCTCTCTGTGTGTGAGTGGAGCTGTGTGTCTCTGACCCTCTCTCTGTGTGTGAGTGGAGCTCTGTGTCTCTGACCCTCTCTCTGTGTGTGAGTGGAGCTCTGTGTCTCTGACCCTCTCTCTGTGTGTGAGTGGAGCTCTGTGTCTCTGACCCTCCTCTGTGTGTGAGTGGAGCTCTGTGTCTCTGACCCCTCTCTGTGTGTGAGTGGAGCTCTGTGTCTCTGACCCTGTCTCTGTGTGTGAGTGGAGCTCTGTGTCTCTGACCCTCTCTCTGTGTGTGAGTGGAGCTCTATGTCTCTGACCCTCTCTCTGTGTGTGAGTGGAGCTGTGTGTCTCTGACCCTCTCTCTGTGTGTGAGTGGAGCTGTGTGTCTCTGACCCTCTCTCTGTGTGTGAGTGGAGCTCTGTGTCTCTGACCCTCTCTCTGTGTGTGAGTGGAGCTCTGTGTCTCTGACCCTCTCTCTGTGTGTGAGTGGAGCTGTGTGTCTCTGACCCTCTCTCTGTGTGTGAGTGGAGCTCTATGTCTCTGACCCTCTCTCTGTGTGTGAGTGGAGCTGTGTGTCTCTGACCCTCTCTCTGTGTGTGAGTGGAGCTGTGTGTCTCTGACCCTCTCTCTGTGTGTGAGTGGAGCTGTGTGTCTCTGACCCTCTCCCTCTGTGTTAGCAAAGCTCTGTTGCAGCGATTTCTCCGCCTCTACCGCAGAGCAGAAAGTTTCTCTAGAGTTTCACTCAGCTCCCAGATCCACACCCTCCGCCTCTCTCTCTCTCTCCCTCTCTCTGAGCCCATTTGACCACTTTATGTTTACCTAGCAGTAAGTACTCCTACTCCTACTCCTACCTTAGTCGATTGGTGGATCGCTTTTCTGGGGGTAATAATTCCTTCCAAAGATAATAATAATTTGGTCACTTAATCCACGACTGTTTGTGGGACGCTGCTGTGCCCAATTGACTGCCATGTTTCACCCACAAAATACACAGGCAATTCACTTTACAGTACATTCTGTGAAGCGCTTTGAGCCATCTCAACAGCATGAAAAGACACTATAAATACAAGAATTATTATTATTAATGTCCGGGATTCAGGCGGAAGCTGACTGTGCGGATGGAGTTATCTAATCAGATAATAGACGTTTTCTGCTGCTTCCACATTACGCTTCGCACTTATAAACCTCAAACAGCACAACCTCCACCAGAGCCTGATGAATTATAAATGAAAGCAAATCCAGGCCAGCTCATCATTTATTTACCGTCCTTCCGGCACCCAGCGAGCTCAGACTCAGTCAGCGCCTGTTAGTAAGGTTAGGGGTTGATGTTTTATCTCTTTCCCCCGCCCTCCCAGCCCCATAATACAAGGATTTTAAACTCAATCCTCTGGGAGATGGGGAACCAATGAAGCTGGGCGAGGATGGATCAATTTTTAGATCCTCACTCTGCCCTTTAAATCCCTTCAGTTAAATGCTCCGGTCTCGCCCTCCCTATCTGTGCAGTTTCCTCAGCTTTTCCTCCGACCTCTGTGTCCTCTGTCATTCACTCTGGCTGACCCTGCAGTTACTGTGGGTCCACACTCCCAGGTCAGGGTTACAGACACAGTAACGCTCCCTCTACACTGTGTGTCCACACTCCCAGGTCAGGGTTAGAGACACAGTAACGCTCCCTCTACACTGTGTGTCCACACTCCCAGGTCAGGGTTAGAGACACAGTAACGCTCCTCTACACTGTGTGTCCACACTCCCAGGTCAGGGTTAGAGACACAGTAACGCTCCCTCTACACTGTGTGTCCACACTCCCAGGTCAGAGTTAGAGACACAGTAACGCTCCCTCTACACTGTGTGTCCACACTCCCAGGTCAGGGTTAGAGACACAGTAACGCTCCTCTACACTGTGCGTCCACACTCCCAGGTCAGGGTTAGAGACACAGTAACGCTCCCTCTACACTGTGTGTCCACACTCCCAGGTCAGAGTTAGAGACACGGTAACGCTCCTCTACACTGTGCGCCCACACTCCAGGTCAGGGTTAGAGACACAGTAACGCTCCCTCTACACTGTGTGTCCACACTCCCAGGTCAGAGTTAGAGACACGGTAACGCTCCTCTACACTGTGCGTCCACACTCCCAGGTCAGGGTTAGAGACACAGTAAAGCTCCTCTACACTGTGCGTCCACACTCCCAGGTCAGGGTTAGAGACACAGTAACGCTCCTCTACACTGTGCGTCCACACTCCCAGGTCAGAGTTAGAGACACGGTAACGCTCCCTCTACACTGTGCGTCCACACTCCCAGGTCAGATTTAGAGACACAGTAAAGCTCCTCTACACTGTGCGTCCTCACTCCCAGGTCAGGGTTAGAGACACAGTAAAGCTCCCCCTACACCTCTTGATGTTTCTGCGAGAGGTTGATCCTCAGTGAAAGGCACGGTGTGATGTGCTGTAACTGGAAGGTGTCGCTCTGGTTGCCCTCCTCGCTGGTCTCCCCTGCTCCAGTATTCACAAAATTCCAACTAATCCAAAACAACGCCGCCCGCATTCTCACCCGCACTAAACTCCGTACCCCGATTACTCCAGTCCTTGCCAAACTCCACTGGCTTCCTGTCACAGAGTGGATCCACTTCAAGATCCTCACCCTTAGTTTTTAAATCCCTCCACACCTTGCCCCTCTCCTCACCCCCCCCCCCCCCCCAACCATCTCTCCACTCTCTCTCCTCACAGCACCACCCGCTGGCTCCACTCTCCTGGCTCCGGCCTCCTCCCTGTCCCTCGAATCCTCCACTCCAACAACAGCGGCCGTACCTTCAGCCACTACACCGTGAAGCTATGGAACTCCCTCCCTCAATCCCTTCAACTTGCCCCCCCTCTCCCCATTTTCAGGTTGCACCTGAAGACCTTCCTCTTCGACCGTGCTAATGGTCACCTTCCTCCACCCCTGGCTCAGCATCGGGCTCCGCCAATGTTAAGCGCTCTGGGACGCTGCCCATCGTGGAGGGCACTATATAAATGCAAGTTGTTGTTGTCAGTTAATGGTTGTGAGTTTCCCAAAGTTATTGCCCGTTCGTTCGCTAGAGTCTGAACAGTGAAGGGTACGCGAGTGTGTGTGTGTGTATGTGTGTCAGCCTGGGAGATGCCATCCTTCAAATGAGGCGTTAAACTAAACTTGTGCTTGTTCAGGCGGATGTTAAAAATCCCATGACACTAATTTGAAAAGAAAAAAGAATTTCGCTCTCTCCCTCTCCCAGTGTCCTGGCCGACAATCCCCCTCGGATAAAATCATTCATTCACTGTGGTTTTGCGGGACATCGCTGTGTGAAAAATGGGCTGCTGCATTTCGCCTACAATATATATAAGCTTTACAGTGAATCCTGGTGAAGTTCTTGGGAGGTTACAGGCACTGTACCAACCGTGGGGTTTATTTAGTGAGGCTTGTTGATCAGGTGGATTTTATAAAGGTCTCACGACACTACTGCAGTAAGGAGTTGTGTTTTAGCTTAGAGGACAGAAGGCTTTGTGTCTTGTCTTCACAAGTTGTATCTCCCCTTTCCCACCCCCAGCCTTTTGCGTCAGCCTTGTGTATAGGTGGGAATGAGTCAGTCAGTCAGTCAGTCGCTCAGTTAGTCAAGGGCACTGAGTCATTTACTGGAGGGTGTGGAATCAATTATGACAGTTACCAGAAAACGCAGCCTTTTACTGAAACACTAACTCTCCCTGTCTGCCATTGGTGTGGGGGCGCAGGGGGAGACTGCTCACTGCACATTCAGACCCTCTTTGGCTGAAGTCCGGCTGTGTTTATCTCCCTGCAGGACATTCCCATGAGTCAGGATGATAGTGTCTTCCCACCCACGCACTGTGTCGAGTTTACTTTGTGATCTGTCTGGGAAGCGATGAAGTATGCTACTCCCGCTTGAACTTTTAAAATTATTTTTATTATTAATTATTCGTGCTTTGATCTCTCCGCTTCCTCCCCCAGACATTGCCGTCACTCTGCTCCCCCGATGGACAGAGGAATAATGATGATACTTTGCCTTATCGCATCTTCAAAAAGTCACAAAACCTTCACAAATTTACACTGTAAAGCGTATATTTGTGAGCGAATCGCGGCAGTCAATTGCGCACAGCAGTGTTCCACAAACAGTCGTGGATTGAGTGATAAAATTATTATTTGGAGGGATTATTTACCCCCGGAAAAGTGATCCGCCAATAGACTAACAATTGGGTTCCTGCTTACTGCTAGGTAAACAGATTGGAGTAAGGAAAGTTGCCAGGCTGATGTGTGTAGTGTGCAGGCTGGTGCGTGAGTTTGGTGTGGTGTGCATGGCTGGTGGATATGTAGTGAGCCGGCTGTGTGTGTCTGTGTGTGTGTATGGATGTGGGTGTGTGTGTGGGGGTCTGTGGGTGTGTGTGTGTGTGTGTGGGTAGTGTCAGGGTTGGTGCGTGGCCAGGCTGCTAATGACACTTCTCTTTTTGCAACACTTAACGGCTTAATAAAGGCGTCTTCTTGTGAATTAGACATGGCTGTCGCTCTCTCAATGAGGGCATGACGTAATCCCTGAGCTCCCATTGTACAGCCGGGGATAGACACTCCCCCCCACCCGAAATAAACGGACCCCTACTCAGTCTGGATTAGTGGGGATGCTACCACCACTCATCCCCCCACCACACCCCCCCTATTGTATATGGTATATGAGAGATTATAATAATAATGGGGAGAGAGGTTATATCTCACAATAAATCCACTGTAACTTAACCACTCAATGAGTCCTCTAAATGAGTGGTTAGAGCATTCGCCTCACAAACGAGAGGACCCGGGTCCGATTCCCAGGCAGGGCCAAACCCTAGACAAGTTTCCTTACCCCACACGCCTGTTTACCTAGTCAATTGGCGGATCGCTTTATGGGTATACTAATCCCTTAAAAAAAGAAATAATATTGTGGTTACACAATCCACGGCTGTTTGTGGGGACGCTGCTGTGCGCAACTGACTGCCGCGTTTCACCCACAAAACATACAGTCAATTCACTTTACAGTGTATTCTGTGAAGCGCTTTGAGACGCCTCGAAGACGTGATAAGGCACTGTATCAAATGCAAGGATGATTATTGTATACCACTGTATATAACCACTCATATACACAGTGTAACCTGTGTACCTGAGCACAGTGAAGGATGAGGCACAGGTGGGTAATGGGTGCTTGTTGTTACCTTGTGGCTGAGATGTTTGTGGAATACCTACAGGTCGGCGGCAGATCCATCACCTCGGCAATCAGCTACAGCTCAACCAGCATTGCCTGGACACCGCCTTCAACTTCTTCAAAATGGCCGTCAGCAAGCACCTGACCCGCGGGCGCAAGATGAGCCATGTGATCGCAGCCTGTCTCTACCTGGTCTGCAGGACGGAGGGGACGCCTCGTATCCTTTCACTGTCACACAGCAACAGCACAGACACGATGGGGGGAGAGAGAGAGAGAGCAGGGAATGGGGTTAGAGTAGAGAGCTCCAGTGGGGGAGCGAGCCCCAGCACAGACACCATGGGGAGAGAGAGAGCAGGGAATGGGGTTAGAGTAGAGAGCTCCAGTGGGGAGCGAGCCCCAGCACAGACACCATGGGGAGAGAGAGAGAGGGAATGGGTTAGAGTAGAGAGCTCCAGTGGGGGAGCGAGCCCCAGCACAGACACGATGAGAAGAGAGCAGGGAATGGGATTAGAGTAGAGAGCTCCAGTGGGGGAGCGAGCCCCAGCACAGACACCATAGAAGAGAGCAGGGAATGGGTTAGAGTAGAGAGCTCCAATGGGGGAGCGACCCAGCACAGACACGATGAGAAGAGAGCAGGGAATGGGATTAGAGTAGAGAGCTCCAATGGGGGAGCGAGCCCCAGCACAGACACGATGGGGGGAGAGGACCTGGGTTCGATTCCCGGGCAGGGTGAAACCTTAGGCAAGTTTCCTTGCTCCACAAGCCTCTGTTTACCGAGCAGTAAGTAGGAATTCGTTTGTTAGTTGATTGGCAGATCTCTTTCCGGTGGCAATAATCCATTTGGTCGTTCAGTGCACAACTGTTTGTGGGACACTGCTGTGCGTAATTGGCTGCCGTGTTATGCCCACAAAATACCCAGTCAATCCGCTTGAGAATATATTCTGTGAAGCGTTTTGAGACGTCTCTAAAAGCTTTAAATGATTTGGGACGCCACCCTGCATGAGGGGCACTATATAAATGCAAGTTGTTATCTCAACGATGTAATAAGGCGTTGTATCAAATACAAGGATTATTATTTGAGCTCCCAGTCGAGGCACTCCAGGTCAGTGCCGGGGGTGGAGGGGGTGGGGGCAGAGGTGCCAGGTATCTATCTGCCTGTGTTGGCGTTGAAAATCCCATAACGCTATTGGGAAAAATTACAAAGCAGTTTCTGACAATGTCCTCCTCCAGATTAATTTAGCATTTGCCTTGTGGCTGTGTTCGCGTGTGTGGGGGACTTTGCTGTGAGCAAAACTGTCGCAAACAGCCAGTGCGCTTGACAGTAATTGCTGGGGATGCACTGCACAGTGTTTGGAAGTTGATAAGGTGCTCTATTTCTGTCCCTTATTCTGATCTGCATTGAGGATGTTTTCATCATTGCGTGGTGGGTGAGGAAAAGAGTCGGGGGAGGAATAATTGGGCCGGGCTCTTCAAGGCTTTGAACGGTGGACAGATCTCAAAGCTGTGTTGAAGTGGGTTCAATGGGAATGAGCTAATCTTACACTTTGTTTGAGGTTTAAACCCCTCCCCCTCCCCCCCACACACACGCGCGCAGTCTCTCAGAGCTGCACCTGCTGTTTTCAGTTAAATAAAGCGTCTTGCCATAAGGAAGCACAAATTGTCTTTTGAACTGTTTAATTAGATGCTGCATTTTTAATTTGTCCGTCACGTGAGCCCGGGGTGATTGTGCACAGATCTGTCTCCCTGTCGGAGAGGAGAGACATCTGGCTTCTGCCCCCCAGCAGGTGTCCGTGCAGGTGGACTGATTCAGCATCAGTTTGTCTGTGTGTCCGAATGCCTGTGAATTTGAAGGGAACTGTTAGTGCTTTCCTCAGGTCCTCTCGCTCCCTCGTCTGCGGCTCTGCAGGTTGTGTACTGTAGCTCAGTGGTTAGAGCATTCGCCTCGCAAGCGAGAGGGCCCGGGTTCGATTCCCGGGCAGGGGGCGAAACCTTAGGCAAGTTTTCTTACTCCACACGCCTCTGTTCACCCAGCAGTAAGTAGGAACCTAGTTGTTAAATCGATTGGCGGAATCACTTTTCTGGGGTAACAATGGCTTCAAAAATAAATAAATAAACGATTTGGTCAATCACTCCGTAGCTGTTTGTGGGACACTGCTGCACACAATTGGTTGCCGGGTTTCGCCCACAATATACAGTCACTTCACTTAACAGGATCCCGTGAAGCCGTCGTCCAGCATGAAGGCCACTATGTTGTTCTTGCTTTGAGATGACTCAATGACGTGATAAGGCACTATATAATAATAATTATGATAATAGTCCTTGTATTTGATATAGAGCCCTTTCATGTGGGTGGGCTGGGGGCGGTGGAGAGTGAGTGGGAGGTGACTCTGCTTTGTAATTTGCAGGATCCCCCCCTGGGGTGCGATTGATGTCTGTGCCTCTGCTTTCTGAGGGTTTTCTCACTTGCTCATTAGGAGCGCAGTTTAGTCGATGGGAGGTTGCTCGGAGGGTTGGGAGCTTGTGAGATCACTTGATCTTTGCAGCGGCTTCCAGTTCATGCCGTCTCCCCAAGATGTTGAGTTACCTCTGTCCCCGGGATGGTGGGGGCGGGGGGGAAGTGTGGGATGGTGCTGTGCAGGAGCAGTAAATTACACCAGCCACTGAATGGGGTTGGGAGGGGGGGAGGGAGAGGAATGCTACCTCACTACATCGGTACCCTCCTCAGCCAGAAGCTAAATAGTTTACATTACAATACAGTTTACATTTATACAGCGTCTCTCGTCTCTCACGTCTGACTGAGAATGTTTGATGTTAAGCTTTGTTGCACTCTGTGGCTGTAATTAGTCCTGGTTGGGCACAGAATGGACTGGGTGAGATGTTTACCCAGATGTTATTGTGGGCAACAGGAACATAGGAACAAGAAGAGGCCATTCGGCCCCTCGAGCCTGTTCCGTCATTCTATAAGATCATGGCTGATCTGTACCTCAACTCCAATTACACTCCCTTGCCCAGTATCCCTTGATACCCTGACCTAACAAATATCTATCAACCTAAATGTGAATGGATCCAGTTATAATTTAAAGACTTTTGGGCGAGGGAGAGAGTTCCTGATTTCCACTGCCGTTTGGGTGAAAATCTGCCCCTGCTTTCATTCCTAAATGGCTGGGCTCTAATCTTAAGGTGATGCCCCTTGTTCTGGATTCCCCACCAGAGGAAATAGAATCCCTTTATCATTTCACCCTTGAACTACAGCAGCGTATAGAGTCTTTCACGTCAGGAGGGCATCCCAAGGCGCTGGACAGCCAGGGCTTTGGATCCGAGCTGGGGGTTGGGATTAGGAGGGGTGGAGGGTGGGGAGCGTAGAAGGAAGGAGAGTGACTGAAGGCGCGTCTTGAAGGAGCAAGGGAGGGAGCAAGGTGAAGGGACTGTGGGATGGAGTTCCAAAGGGTGGGGGCAGAGAGGCCGATGGTGAGGCAGGCCCATTGGGAACGAGCCTTCTGAGTGGGAGTTGACAGGTCGATATGATGTTGGCAATTCACAGAGGTAGGGAGGAGCAAGGCCAAGGAGGGCTCTGAAACCTTCTAAGCTCAGGGGAATAGAGACCAAGTTTATGCATAATTTAACCATTTAAGCCTTGATTTTCTTCTGGCGAATCTGTGCTATACCTTCTTCCAGGGCCAAAATATCCTTCCTGAAGTGTGTTGCCCAAAACTGAACGTAGTTCTCCAGGTGGGGTCTGACCAGGGCTCTACAACTAACTGAATGTGGCTCGGCCCGTTTATACTCCCCACAGGAAACTGACAGAGGGAAAAATGGAGGGAGGGAGGAGGTGGGTAATAGTTGGCTGCAAACTTGTTTCCGACTTGAGCTCGCTCGTCAAGAGCTGAGCTGCCGTGGTTGATCCCAGTCGTGGGGAAGGCGAGAGAGTGATTCAGTGACGACCACATTTCAGCAGATAAACTAAAACCTGTGGATTTCCTGCTCTCAGCAGGAGCCAGCCTTGCTGTGTGCTGCGCTCTGATTGTCTGTAATTTACGCACATGTCTCTCTCTTTATTTCACACTCAATAGCCGAGAAATGCAGCTTCCTGTCCTCATTGTGCTGCTGGGGAACCATCAGCTGCATTGTAATACCGCAGCCCACCCCCCCCCCCCCCCACGCACACACACACACACCAACCCACAGAATCTCATTCCCCGGGATTCATTGTAATGCTGGCAAAACCAATTTCAGAAAAGCTGGAAAATCAGTGCAAAACATTGTTTTTGTGTGTGGGGGAGGTGTGTGCGTGTGTGTGTGTGTTTCCCAAGGGAGCGATAGGGAAGGGGAGTTCAAGGAGAGTGTTCCATATGTACGCATAGCCCGGGGGCTTTGTCTTGTTTCCTAGTCACCTTAATACTAGGAAGTGGAGTGGTTAGCACGCTGGCCGCACAAGCGAGAGGACTCGGGTTTGATTTCTGGGCAGGGCAAAACCTTAGGCAAGTTTCCTTACTCCACAATCCTCTGTTTACCCAGCAGTAAATAGGAACCTGATTGTTAGTCGATTGCAGATCGCTTTCTGGGGATAATAATCCCTATGTTTAAAAAAAATTGGTCACTCAATCCACGACTGTTTGTGGGACTCCTCTGTGCATTTCGCCCACAAAATACACAAGTCAGTCCACTTTACTGTATATTCTGTGAAGTGCTTTGAGATGTCTCAAGGCATGATGATAATAATAATCGTTGCATTTAATCCAGCGCCTTATCGAGTCTTCGAGGCGTTCAAAGCGCTTCACAGGATATACTGTAAAGAGTAATTGACTGTATATTTTGTGGGTGAAACATCAGGTGCCATATCAAATGCAAGGAGGATTATTATTATTATTAATAATACCTGATGCAGAATCTAACCTTAGGCTTAGGGCAGTCAGTGTTGCTCTGCCAGTACACGCCAGTACACTCTCTTTCTCTCCCTCCCTCCTCTCTCCGTATGACCCCCGCCTGCATTATGTGAGACTAACTTCCTGCTTGCATTCTGAAACTTTGTGATGATATATTGTTGGAGGCTTAACTGGAACGCTCTGTTGACCTGGTGTCTTTGTGTGAGAGATTGGAACACTATGTGCTTGTGTGTGTGTGTGTGAGGGGGGAGGGGTGTGTGTACGTGGGGGGTGTGGGGTGTGGGCGGTGGGAAGGGTCCCTGGGGTGGGGCCTGATGCTGAGTTCTCAGCAGCA